TTGCGTAAAGAATTTGTGGAGTATTCATCAGACTATTGAAGCTATAGTCTATACTACTTTATAGGAACAAAAAAAAAAAGAAAAAGACATAAATACTTTTTTAAGGTTGAACTGAATCACATTTATGTGTTTTTTTGTCTGTTTTTAGGTATGATGGACAACCAAGCTGATAAGTAAAGAAGAAATGTGTTCAAAAACTGAAATAGCTGTTGCTTCATCAAATGAACGCAACAAGAAGCTCAGGTGTGCAATGAAGCAACGTCGACCCTTCGGACCAAACTTAAAACTTTTCCCTTTTTGTTTCCAACACATGAAACAGTAACATTTTTAAATCTACATGTAAATAAATTCAGATGTGCGCCTTTGTTTTCTATAAAAAGTACAGACTAATGATGACGTCTTTGAGTAACTATGTTTATGAATGACGCAGAGGTCATTGAGAGGTTTGGTAGCTAATTGTGTAGCCCATAACAAACGAAAATGTAGGTGCTGTAGTCATGGAACTGCACAAATCATGAACAGTTCATTGTATAAAATATGTTTCAGTTTAAGGTGAAACCTTGTGAAATACTTAGTGAAAACAACCAGGCATTAGAACAGATCTGTGAGTCTGTTTTAAGATTTACAGACTGAATTGTGGATTTTTTTTATTTGTAAATTAGAGGTTTTTATACTCGTATTCTTCCTGTCCTGTACATATCTTTTTTTTTTTAACCAAGATCTGTTTTTCTGAACTGTGGTTTATTTTTCTACATCTGTTTCGATTGTATGTCTATTAGTGTTTTATTTTATATTTGCTATGTTTGTGTGAAACTATACAGAAATGTAACCGGTCCAAAATGTCATGTTTTGATGTGGTTCAGGAATTATTTCTTTTTGTCTTGAGTCGAGAACATGCGTATTGTTTGTAAAGCTTGAACTAATTTGTGTATTTCAGATGGGTACTGTAAAAAAAACAACAAAAAGAACTTGTTCTACAAGTGTTTGAATTTAAGGCTGGATTTGAGCATAAATCTGGGAAATGTTTTTCTGAAATTTGATTCACAGATTTAGAACCACTAAGGTCAGAAAAACAAACTTGACTGTACAAACTCTGGGAGATATAAGTTAAATTACTTGAAACATTGTTGATTTGTCAACACTTTTACAGAATAACTGAAGCAGCCATGTTTTTTACAACTGAATCATTTCTTATTATGTCCAGATATTAATTAGCTTTCAGAAAAGCAGCTTTACAGAACTTACAGCTGATGTTTTTATTTGTCCTTATTTTTGTCAGGTCTGAATCCCTCCAACAATTTTTGGAAAAAAGTTAACTCTTAAAGTGAATAAAACATGAGATGGATTTATGTTTTAATTTTGTGATTATAATCCTGTTTCTAAAAAAAAAAAAAAGAATTGAGACAATGTACCAAATGAGAACTCAATAAAGTTGCTGATAAATTGCTATGAAATGTTAAAAACCAGAAACGGTATTCATGCTGATAAGTTATTTCCTAGTTGATTCTCGTGTGGAAGGAGTGATTTGACCTTTTTCATTTTGCCTTTCTTTTCCTGTTAAAACTTTTCCAAGAGTGACCGCTTTGGCTACTGCTTAAGAGAGATTTTTTTGGTCGGTTTTCTGGTAAAACTGAAGATTTTTATGTATTAAGTCATTTATTAATGGATGCATTTCCAACTACTGCGGATCTCTGTGAAATACTTTTACACAGAGGTGTGGTGTGGAAGGAAAAAAAAAAATCAAAGCTGGTATATTAGGCCTCGAGCTTCATAGCACTGTTCAAAATGCCAGCTTTCCCATCAGACAGTCTCTGTTACAGCAGGCAGGCCACCTGTATGCTGGTTATCCCCGCCTTCTCAATTTACCCCCAGCTAATCAAACTCCAGCTATCACTGCTCCCTCCATAAAAGAGCCAGGTTTGAGGCAGGTCTCCTTCTCTGCAGGGTTCCAAGATGGCCACTACAACGACACGTCCACAAGGGAACAAACATTTCACTCATTTGCAGTACGTAGGAGATGATGTTTGTTGTTGGCGAAGCCGCTTCACTGGATCCAGACGCCCAGTTCTCCTTCAGCATGTCCAAAGGGCCTCTAACCTGTCTCTCATGAAGCAACTCAAAAGGAGAAAAACCAGTTGAAGCTTATGGTACTTCTCTGTATGCAAACAAAAGAAAAGGCTACCATTTATCCCAGTTTTTGCCAGTATCATCATTAAACTTTCTCAATATTTGCTTTATTGTGCCATTAAATTGTTCTACCAAACCGTCGGTTTCTGGATGGTATAGAGTACGAATACCTTTTACACCCAGATGATCATAAAGACTTTTCATCACTTGTGACATGAAATTGGTACCTTGATCTGCCAGAATCTCCTTTGGGATACCAACTCTGGAGAAAAGGTCTACTAAACACCGGACAATGTGTTTGACCTGCAGAGAACATAATGAATAAACATCTGGATATCTGGTTGCATAATCACAGATGACTAATGCATATTTATGGCCATTACTGCTCTTAGGTAAAGGACCTATGATATCCATGGTGATTCTCTCATAAGGAACAGTCATTATTGGTAATGTCTGCAACTGGGCACGGTCTAAAACTTTAGTGGGGGCTACTAATTGACAGTTATGACACGTTTTGCAGAATCCAACCACATCTTTATATAATCCTGGCCAATAAAAATGTTGAGCAGCACGATTATATGTCTTTGCCTGTCCTAGGTGCCCTGACCATGGTACAGTGTGAGCCAAATGCAGAATAACTGAACGGTATTCTTTTGGCACAACAAGTCTGGGTTCATCAATGTTCGCTGGATACAAAAAGTTTATCCTTCATAATGAGAGGGTTTCCTGCTAAACTTTTGAACTCTACAGTACTCTCTTTATTAAAGAGAGGGTTCAAAGATGGATCGTTTTCTTGACTCTCTTTAACCTGTCTGTCACGAGAGGACCCAAATTTGGGTCCTCTCGTGACAGA